ATATCTGGAGAAAGAGAGAGAGAGTCACTTAGAAGAAGAAGCTCGTGCCCTTCAGAAAGAGGATCCTTTCTCAGGACAGGTTCTCACAGACAACAGGCATAACTTTCAAGATACTCAGTTTCAGAATCCAACTTGGTGTGATTACTGCAAAAAGAAAGTATGGACTAAAGCAGCTTCGCAGTGCATGCTCTGTGCTTACGTTTGCCATAAAAAATGTCAAGAAAAGTGTTTAACCGAGATGCCCTTTTGTGTAGGAGCTGAAAAGCGGCTCGATCGAACTGTGGGCAGCAGCAGAGCGGAGGGACAGGAGGCTCCTGCAGCCGCATCCTCTCGGGTCGATTCCGAGGCCAAGTCCGCGAACAGAACTACAGGGCTGACCAGGCACATCATCAACACGAGCACCCGCCTGCTGAACCTCCGGCAAGTGCCCAAAACCCGCCTGGCCGAGCCGGGGCCGGACGTGGCCGAGCCTTCCCCGAAGCACACCCCGAACACGTCTGACAACGAGAGCAGCGACACCGAGCTCAGCGGGCCCAGCAGCCCCTCCAAGCGCGCCGCGGGCTCCGGCATCAAGCTGGTGCGCAAGGAGGGCGGCCTGGATGACAGCGTCTTCATTGCTGTTAAAGAAATCGGGAGGGACCTCTACAGGAGTTTACCCACAGAGGAGCGTTTCCAGAAACTGGAGTTTATGTTGGATAAGCTGCAGAATGAAATAGACCAAGAGCTGGAAAATAATAATTCGCTCGTTAAAGAAGAAAAGGAGACAACCGAGGCGAGGAAAAAAGCCCTGATTTCTGCTGCACTGGCTAAGTCAGGTGAGAGACTGCAGGCTCTCACGCTGCTGATGATCCACTACAGGGCAGGCATTGAGGATATAGAGTCCCTGGAGAACATGTTCTTAGAGAGGCAATCCAAAAAAGTGACTAAAGAGTTTGAGGAGCCCAGTATAGCAGAAGAAGTGGATAGTGAAGATGGCAGTCTGACAGAGGCTCCAACATTGAACATCATATCAGAAGAACCAGATGATCCACCTCAATCAGTAGACTGATATTTACATATTTAGTCTTTGAAGGAATGGACTAAAAGAATACTTTGCACTTAACTCCAAACACACAGAAATTAAATTAAAACACTGGTATAATGTGCGTGTCCTGCTTCTCCACAGTTAATTGCTAACAGTGGTTTTTCTCCAGCTAGAGCACCATCATTTTGTTAAACTAGCTGGTCAAAACTACACTTTGGGGTTTATATTGGAAATTTATTTTTAATAAATTATTTTTATTTTTTCTAATTATGTAACGTTACCATTTCACATCAGCGTATGTGGTTTCCTTAATGTATTATTTGCCCCCACTTCCCCTCTCTGTATTATTTTTTTTTTTTTTAGCTAGTGTTTTCAATGGGAAACAGGCAGGGTTTTCAAAATGTTTAGTTTCCATTGTATGATGAAAATATTATAAGCTTGTTGCATGCCTAAGCTGATGGCTGACACAGAAGTCACCGAGGGGCCAGGCTTTTAAGTGTTGATCACAGTTTTAGTATATGTCTTCTAGATAGTTGTGTATTTTTTGCCAAACATATCATGAAAGCAAACAAAAGGTCTTTCATTTTGTCTGTTATTGATACTTACTGAAATTACCATTGCATATCATTTGTTTTCCATGTTCTTGTTAAATACAAGAACTTTTTTGTAGTTTGTATTTAACACCAAATATAGTAATGCTATGCTAAAAAAAAAATCCTCCTTCGAACTTCAGACTATTGTTAGATATCAAAGTATAAACTGGTATCTCATAATAATTTAATTGGGAATATTTTCAAGGTAAGAGGCTCATTGCCTTCCAGAACAAAATCATATGTTTGTGATGTTGTATTATCTGATAGCCTGATAAAGTTGTTCTTCACAAGAGTTGGAGGTTTCATTGCCTTCTGTGAAAAAGCATGTAATGATGGTGTAAGTAATATAAAGAAATAAATATTTTGCTGCAGACTATCATTTTGGAAAGCTTAAGGTGCAAAATACAAAGTAACTAATGTTCTCTCAACACTTTTGAGTAATCATAGAGTGGTAAGTTGCATTCAGCTTCTCAGACAGAAGATCTGAGAAGAAGGATCACCTTTGTCAGCAAAATGTCCTATAGTGTATATAACATGTTTTATTTGAGTCAATTTGTGAGTCCAGTAGAGATGAGGAAGAAATTCAACCAGCTGCTTTTGAAAAGAACTGTCTGGTCTTGTGCTATGTGTAAACTATGGATCTTAGCATCACCTAGCTAAGGCCATTGATCTTATTTATTTCCTGGAGACATGTCTTTGTTTCATCCTCTATGTATAGAAATTTTGTATAAAATATCATCTTTATTTTAGGTACTGTGCTAGGTACTCGTATCATTATCACTGGTATTGCTGGTAGTAGAAAAAAATGCCTTTGTGGGAGTGGAGCTTGAGATGGTAGAATAACTCCTTTAGTTTTTGAGGTCATTTATAATGTACCTCTCCTTTAAATTTGCTTCTTGATTTAGTTTATGATGGGCAAAATTAAGAAGCAGTGGTTTTCACCATGGAACAGCGTGCTTGTGCTTCTAAACAAAATGGTTACTGCCAGTCATGCAACTACTTGCACTTTTTTGTGAGTTCTGGGCAGTTGATACTACTTAGCTGATGTATGGAAAACACTATCCATGCTAAAACAGGCATGTGACACACTTCTGAAATTAAGCTTCAGCAAATAATCGCACAAAACTAGCTTCCCTTCTTGTCTAAAAGTTATTTAACCTATACTTGCTTGAGATGCATATTAAGACTTCCCCACTCCATTTTCTCAGCGGCTTACCATTGGTGGTGATCTGCATTCAATCCCATCAGTGTTTGCTCTTACAGACTACTACAGAGGTTTTCAAATATATCCAAGTGCTTCATTTAAGCCCTGGTGCACATGAAGGAGCTGTGAAAACAATGCAAATACTGATTTCAAAAACAGATTCATGGTTTTAAATTGACTCGTGTAACACAGTGGGTAAGAAAAGCTGGATATCGTTTTCCTCGCATAGTGTTGCTAATGATGATGATTGTAAGAGGTAAATTAAATGTAGTGCAATATTTTTAAATATACTGAATGAAAAAGGGCAAAATAGTTGTATTTTAGTGATAAGAAGGAAAACATGAATTCCTATCTGGCATTATTTACAATAAGCAGTGAATCTCGAGGGGGTAATTGTAATACTACATTCCTGATGTAATCTTTGCTTCATGCTTGACTGTAAATAGCTGAAAATAAAGAATACCACAGAAAACAAGAATATCTTGACTTAATGATATCTGAATAGGTGGCAGCTACACACATTTGCAGAAGACCTGCCTAATATGATTTTGTTGGCTATTATTTTATCATGAGAATAAGCTTTAATAAAATAGTTTTGCTAAATTATCAACTTTCTTGCATTGTGTCAATGTTTTTTTAAACGCTTCTATCACAGTACTTTATCATCTAAAGCCACCATGTAAAGGAAGGATTGTCAGGGGAAAAGCACATTTTGCATTATATAAAACTACAGATAACTGGACTAATTGGGCTGAGAAATTTGAAATAATGCATATGTAGAAGTTTACAGCTGCAGAGGAGGAATAAGGACTGGGAGGGAATAAATAAAGTGTCCTTATCACTTGAAGTGATACAGATCAAAATATACAAAATAGGAAAAATCCACATTTTTCCAGGGCAAAAGGGATTTTTTTTGTATTTTCTGAGTAAAATTTCTTCCTGACTGTCTCCAAAAAAGGTTTGGTTACTCATTACTCAAAAAATCCAAAACAACTGCTAAGTTTTCATTTGGGAGTCGGGGGAGGGGTAGCACAGAGATTCCAAATATGAGTGTGTGTGTATTTTAATTTAATCTTCCTCATCTGGTGGAGCAAGAGAAGGGGATGCACTGTACTGTGTTGATCTGCTCAGGAAGATGCTGCTCCCTAAAGCCCAGCACAAACCTGGCTCCACCTGCAGAAGAGGAATGTGATCCATTCATCTCTCCTTGGGTCTCATACTCACGTTGCAGATTAATACAAACTCCGCCTTAGTTTTGATGTGCTCAAAAATACAAAACCGAGCCCTGGAGAGAGCCTTTCTGTACTTTTTTAAAAATGTGAGTTGCTGTGTTTGAATTATATACTTGTGAATTCAAGAAATACAGTGGTTGGGCAATAAGGTGAACACGTCCTCTAATAATTTAGAATTCTTGCATTTCAGTCTCAAATTTGATCAGATTAACAATTTGATGTTGACCAAAAGACTTCAGTGAAGTAGAATAACATCTCTTGGGGCAAAGTTTCAAGTGTGCAAATCACAGTAAAATCTGAGCCTAATGTAAATAGTCACTGATCTGCACAATTGTTACTTACCTGATGACAGTGAGGAATTCATCATACGACAGAACCTTGGTTTCTGCAGGAGCTCTGAGGAATGCTTTCCCACCACCTGAGACACCTGACAGCTGTCCCCACATGGGTAAAGCACACTGCATAAGGCAAAGCATGAGGGGAGGTCGCTCTTTTTTAATTCTTCTTTTCACTTTATTACAATAGATCATGAACTTCTGTCAGATAACTTTATTTTGATGCGTTCTGAATGCATAATTATTGACAGAGCAATACTTGAAGTTTGATCCACTATATTTTTCATATTTTTTTGACCATAGTATATACGCTTTACAAAACTATATGTAAACATAGTATCTATGCTGTAGTACATAAAACATCTGCAATTACATGAGAGAAGGCACATAAAGATTTTCATTTTACAAATTAAATAATACACCATGGTTGAGAAGGACATTGGGATTGTTTTTAAAATGCTTTCTTTCCAAGTCTTGTTTTTTTCTAAGTGCAGACAGGAACTGCTTAATACAATACTTCACCTGTATTGGGCTGTCCCCCTAAAAGTTGAGAGATTGGCAACAAACTGGCTTTCTTCCATTTTTTTTAAGCAAAGAGTATATTTTAACTTATTTTAAAAAATAAATGCACATTGAATTTTTAGATGTATCTGTAAAAGAGTTTTAATTGCTCCAGTTAGCAGCTCACTTTCAGTACATGCTAAGACTAAATACTGTAATACTGCAGCTTTTCCTAACCAGTCACTCAAGATGCAACTGAAATAAAGTGAAATATGTTAAAAGATATTCAAAAGATAGAAATATAAAAAGCATCCTCATGCTGTTACATTCCCTGCTAAGGGCAAGGAACAGTGCATGTTCATACTGACTTGTTTACCTGGTGGTGTTTAGGGGCTTCATATTGCACAACTGCTTGATTAAAACTTTGATAAATTTCAGTAATAGCAATGCACTCATCTGTTTACACACACAACATGTTTTCCTCAACATTGGTAGTTCAGGGAGAACTCACTATTTAAACTGGCAGAGAAGTTGTGCCTCTTACTTAGTTTTTTATCTATATTATTATGATCTGAAGTTGATGAAAAAAGTGATAGTGCTGTCCACACTCTGAATTCCAGCTCCTCTGAATGCACTTACAAGGGTGTCACTTAAACGGATGCAAATTGGATAGGTTTTCTTTGAGAGTTGCTTTTTTACATTTCTAATCAATTAAGAAAGACTCAAGTTTGACAGTAACCTATGACTTCAAATAAAATATGAAATACGGTCAAGGAGGTGGATTTAAAAACCAAATAGTTAAAATTCACATTTTATACAGATTTATACTACACATTTAATAAAAAATAGAGTGTAATATTCAATAAAATTAAATACACAAAGAGTAACACTATACAAATGTTCTATAAAAGCTCTTTCCCCCCTGTAAGGCGGTTTGCAGTCTGCTTTATAGTCACGGGCAATAAATAATATACCTTTGGTTTTTCTGACCATTTCACTATTAAATATACAGTACAACTAAAACCTATTTCCGGATGAGATGTTTCACATGAACCACAGCATTTTGTACACCTAAATATGTTATATGGCTTTTCTGTTATTCATCACTTTCATATTCCTCCTCTTCTTCACCTATGGGGTAGGATTGGATGTTGTTCTGGGTGTACATTTTTGTTTTCACGGGGCAGTTGTGATCCATGAGTATTGCCTGGAAGAAAACAGAGTGTGAGTATTTCTGCTTAGCATCCAGCTGAGGCTGGGGCTGATCCACCACACAGCCAGCACACTGCATGCACCACTCAGGGATTCACCTCTCCTCCCTTGAGGCAGAGCCCAAACTGATTGCAATTGGGGTAAATTGAGCCCACAGGTCTGCATGAGGGGGGAGCTTGGTGCTAAAGACATCTCTGAAAAATTTCTATTTCCAGTATTTCAGCCCAGTTATTATTATAATACATCTACCTGCTCTCCAGATACAGTCATTTACCCCTCCCATAATTAATTTCCATCTATTTAAACCTGGATTCATGGTCAAGAGGAGTCCTACTGCTTCAAGCCAATTCTCTCTTTCCATGGAGATCCAGAACAGCATAACTGAGGCTAATGGTGGTCCCAATACTGTGCCTTGACACCCACAGCAAGCTAAAAGTAGTAATCATGGTGAAGCCCAGATAAAGTACTAAATTCTCTGGGTTGAAATTTCCCAAGGAGTTTTAGAGCAGCTGCATAGTCTTCTTTATGCTGAGTGTAATTAAGTTTGGGGGTTTATAATTATGCCAAGACCACAGATTTGTGACCCTCTTTTTGACTCTCCTCCAACCTGAAAGAACTGGTACATCATTTTACAGCCATGAGCCACTTTGGGAACAGGAGCTGGTTTGCATTTAAAGGTACATTAGAGGCAGCAGATGCTGGAAGGTGTTGGAGCCATGGGGAGACATCCTATCCCTCCAGGGGTTGTGATGTTACAAATGAAACTGTCAGGGACCATGGAAGTACATGATAAATTTTATATTGCCAGGAAAGAGCAGCTGATATTTTTTTTCCTTTCTGTTCTTCAGCCTTATTTAATATAAGAAAACCAAAACAAACTAAACCAGTACAGTCAGCAAAGGTCATGACAAGGAATTAACTGGGATCTCTGGGATTCTGCAGTTCAAATACAAACAAAACAGAAGGTCTCTGGCCTCACATGCACCATTATTTCAGCAAGATTCAATTTTCCACCTTCTGCCAGTACAAAGTGAGCAGCATAGGCAGCAGGTGCTGTCCTTGCCTTGCAGAGATTATCCATGGCAGAATACGACCATGACCATGCAAAATTAGTTTCTTTTCACCCAAATAAAGAACCAGCAAGTACATTTTTGGCCCAGGTCAGTCTTTTTTTCAGGAAGAGCAAGGATGGAGTGTTGGGTGGGCTAAACCTACAGATGGTGACACTGTTCTTACACACCCTGTAGTGGTGGGGGAGCACTGAGTGCTCTAGAACATTAACTCTTGGGAAAATATATTTAAAAAAAAAAAAAAAAGAAAGAAAAACAGAAGCCCTGTGGTATAGATTGGGCAAGAGAAGCCACTAGTTTGTAAGCACAGGTGAACTGTGCGAAGGAAGGAGGAGGATGAAAAAAGATTATTCAAAATAAATTGTTGAGAACCATGGGGAAAAGCAGGTTGAGGCACACCAAGGAATAATTTGGTCAATTGGCCAATAGAGTTCTGGCTCTTCAAGGAAAAGAGAAATTAATTCTACACTGACTCCACCACGTGTTCTGTTGCAGAGGAATGTCTGCAGGATCTTGTTTCATGAAAATCAAATTTGTGACTTTGTAACATCTAACTAATAAACAGTTTGCCTTTATATACATCTTGGACATAAAAAGAAGGGGGACTTCATTTCAAAGTTCATGCCTAAGGGTGAAATACAATGTGCTGCTCCCGTTTTGAGGAAGTTAGAGGCAAAGATGCAAATGCAAGTTATCATTTGTTTCACTGAAAAAACCCAAATTAAAATTAAAAAAAAAAAAAAAAAGAGAAAGAGAAGAAAGAAACCAAGTTACACTTACCATTTTCTCCTCTTTGGCAGGTGGACTTCGAAGGAAAAAGCACAGGGGAGCAAAGATGATATCCACAATTCCTATAATTGTCATGAGCCATGGGAACCCAATAGCCTTGGCAATGGCACCACCAGCAGAGGGACCTTGTACAAAGAAAAGCGCTTTTCTGGAGATTGCTCAGACTCAAAATTTGCAGCAGTCACTTTAAACAATGGTTATTTTGTATACAAACCCCCCATCTTACAAATGAATTTGAGGAATGTAAAGCCATGTTTTTAATTATCTCATAAAACTTTCCTGGCTCCATACCCCACATTCCTTGAGGAGATTAGAGGTGTTCCTAAGGGCATCTGTGTCATGCTCTCAAGGAGGCAGGGGGTCAGTGGGGAGATATTCCCCTCACAGACCCCTGGAACAGAGTTATGGTGTCAGTTTAAATGTCCCAAGGTCTCTGTCCTGGCATATCCCATTTGTGCCTTCAGACACCTTCAAGCCTCCTACAGCTCATGAAGTGAGTGAACACTGCTATACACAATTCCCCCTGCTCTGATTTCTTGCAGAAACTAACAACCTCTTCTCATAAAATATGCAAGGACCACTGAGGTTCACACATTGTAGCAGATTCCCCTTTTTTTAACTGTGCTTTCCAGGCAGGGAAAGGCTGGACTTACCTATGGCAAAGCCCATGCAGAAGGCAACATCAGCTATTGCATACACGCTGCCATAGACTGACACGTGGCGCAGATCCACCAGGTACCCCATGATTGGCATCATGGAGGAGTCCACCATCCCTGCAAAACACATTTCAGGAAAATGCTGCCTTTTCCTTCCCCTTCTTTTAACATCTTGGTGAGCTGTGTGCTAAGAAGGGATGCAAAAGCAGCTAAAAGGATGCTTGTTGATAGCTTAGCAAAAGATTTGTGTACCAATAGTCTGTGTCAGCTTTGCTTTTTATGGTCTTTGGTGTGTCTGGACCTGTGTACATGTGGCACCTGCCAGAGGACAGGTGAGATGTGAGCTTAGGGTGTATCCACACTTCCTACCAACTGTCTCTGCAAAGCTCCCACCTCACACCACCTGCCAAGTAATTAGGGGAAAGTTATCTGGTGTGAGCTTATCCAGACTGAAAGCCTAAAAGACAATTAGTCCCCAGTCAATCAAAATTATTTACAGCATTTTTATTATGTCTTTTGATACACACCCTCATTTCTGGCAAGAAACAGAAGCACAGACAGCTCACAAAACTGCTGAGACCCTTGGGATCTGGATCCTGTATCTTGTTTCCTCACTGCACATCCCTTGTGTGAGGATGTCCCAGAACATTTGCTGAGCACTGCAAAGCAAGGCAGGGTCCCCACTGCAGCCTGCCTGCATGGCCCAGCGTCAGAAATGTTCACACACCTCACTTGAAGAGTACATGTGTGAGAGCTTGGGAATTCCTCTTTATGTACAAAATTTAAGCCTTTTTTCCCCATGGAAATGTCTATATAAATCCTTTTCCACTACAGGAAAGAATGTGGGTTTGGGACAATGCATGGTTTAATTTCTGTTCATTTCTACATTCGTGGACAGGTTGAAAGATCTGTTTAGGTCGATGGAGCAATTCTGTACAGGCTTGGGGGTCCAGCTTGTCTAAAGCAGCCTGGTTCAAACTCCCTAAGCACTGTCCCTTAATCCTTGCTCTGCCTGCCAGTTTGGGCCACAGCTCAGGCAACAAAACTGATTTTTTGTGTAATTTCATATAAAATCATTTTTAAAGAAACAACAGATTGTAAGAACTCACTGCAAATTTTCTTACCTATGGCAAATCCAACTCCAAAAGTTGGTGCTATGAGTCCATAAATATTTTTAGCAAACGGTACCTAGAAAGGAAATTTTGGGCAGTTAATTACGTCATGTTGCACATGCTAATGAGGTTAGTTTCTTTTTTCTGGGATAAATTCTCCAAGTACTTATGGCCCACAGATCTGAGAGTCTGATCCTTGTTCTGAGCTGTCATTTCAGACAACTGTGCCATTAAACCACTGACACACTTACAATTATAAACTGCTGAGTGACAGCTCAACAGAGGAGCATGCTCCTCTCACAGTCATCATTTCTAAAAATAATTGAAGCACTGAAATTGGAAAGCACTCAAGGCTCTGATCTGGAACCTATTAACCACACATTGTTTAATAACGTGTCATAAAACTCTCATGGGAAAAGTGCATATTTGAAGATGAGAACACAAACATTCACATGTTTTAAAAGATGCACGATTGTCTACTTACACATAAAATACTTATTCCCACGATTAGCATCCCAAGCAAAGCACAAAGCCACCTATCAAAGAAGAAACATCACTCAGAGATGGGTGATAATGAGATATTAGAGCTGATCCTGAATGTTTCAAAGCCATGTCTGAATCACTGAGCTAAACAGCAAAAGTAGCAATGTGTTTGTTCCAAAAAAATAATTTTGCTCCTAGAGAACATGCTTTTATAATTTCCATTATCAATAAACTGCCCTGGGAAACGCTGGAAACAGTACATTAAGAGACTGGAAGATGATTAGTATTTTTAAATTAAGCATACCTTCCAATTTTGTGTGCAAGTATCCCAAAAAGATTCGTCCCAATGAGATAAGAGATGCTAGCTGGAAGAAAAGCGACACCTGAAAAATATGAATGAGATGTTTTATCAGCAAGGATCCTAGTGAAGTGTTAGAAGAAACTAATAAATCCCAGACACTGCAATTTTGATCTGGACACATCTAATAGAGCCCAAGGAATCAAATATCCGGTTTGTTGCAGCCTTCCCATGAAATCTAAGGACATCATCTGTGAAATGCAGCAGCAACATGATGCCTTTGAAAAGAGTTTTTCTGCATTAGATACAAGAACTGGCCTGGGAGAAGGGACAGAACAACAAAGAGCAAAAAGTTTATATTTGACTGCAGTAAGCTTTGGGATAGGTCAAGGAGAGCAGCCCTGCTGCAGTTGCAGGGTTTAGGGAGCATATGCTCAGCACATGCAGCCAGCCCAGGGTGCTCAGTGCTGGGTGAATCCTCCCCTGCAGGAGGGGACAGCAGGGCTGCTGGGGCTTTTCCAAGTGACAATCCTCCTCTAAGCCTGGCAATGCCATGAAGGTTCCTGTTCCAGGCAAGTCTGTAGTGCCTTGGTCAAGCACAGACCGAAGTCAAGCATTTATCAATAATGCAAGGGTAAAAAAACCTTTAAAAATTATATCAAAACAATTTAGCCAACATATTTTTTTTTTTAAATCACATATTGGTTAAAATAAAATAAAATTGCAAAAACTGTCATAGCTTGCAGATGAGGACACCTGAGTAAATTCTGTCTCTCTCATTTCCCAGCTCCACTTGGAAAAGCACATTGTTGGCACCAGCAATGTTTTCCTACCCCTGAGGTTGCCACAGCAGTGGCTGTCTCTGGAGTAGATGCTGTTGTCTGGTGACACCTCTGGTTTAAAAACCAGTTATTACAGTCTGTACTGGAGGATTCATCCTCTCCTTACACAGAAGTCCCAGACAGGCCCCAGCCAGAGATGTAGAAACAGCCATGACATCAGGGTACACAATCCAACCATTGCCTTCACGTGTATGTGCTCCTCATCTTTCACCAGGGCAACACAGGTTTTCTCATTTCCTGCCTATCCATCTTCCTTCCCATCTCTCTGATATATTCATAAGAAAAAAATCAGGAGGTAATTTTTAGCACAGCAATATCCTGTGATTAAAAACCTAGTGGGTTACAGTGGTGGTGCTGGGGAAAGATTTAATTTTAGCCTGTGTAACCACAGCTACTTCACTACTGCTCGGAGCTATCTGGTTATACCAAAGGGTCACAGAGAGCAGACCTCAACAGCTGTGAAAGAGAAAAAATACTGCAAAAATAATACTGTTAAATAAGACTTGCACAGGTTGGTCTGTAAGCTGTGGTGTACTGAGACAGAACCATAATTTTCTAAATAGGCTTTATGCACAGTAATATTCATTGGTCAAATCAAGGTTCTTTATACCTTCTTCAGATCATGCTTCAAACAGCTGTATTTCCAATTGTATAAGATAATAATTTGCTTAAAACCCTGCAGTTCAATTTACAATTTAAGAGGCTTAAAATTTTTTATTAGTGCTGTCAAATCAGACAAAGTGAAATGGAGTCAATTACTTGTATCATTAAAAGGTTAAATTAGTCTTAATTTAAAATGGATATTTTCCTTCTAGTAACCTCTGTTCAATGAAGAGATTTGAAAAACTCATTTCTATTGCACCAGTAATACAAAACTGGTGAAGGAGGTAGATCAGTAATATTTCTTTTTCCTATTTGAGGTTCAAAATGCCTAAGTTTGCATGTTCATTCTGCTGTATTACAGGCTAGATGTTATTGCCAGGTTCAGCAGTACATTAAGAACAGCATCTGTGGCCACTCAGATCTCAATTGCATTAATTAGAATCAAGATTTGTGCTTTCTTTAGGGTATAGGGACAGTTACATTAACACAGAGCAAGGATATCATCTGAACATCATTTTCATGAAGGATTTTTCTTTTTCTTTCAAAATATACACTGATATTAAGACATACCCTCATGAACACATCACTAAATTAATCAGAGATAGAAGGCTGGACACTCCCTACTTAAGAAGATTTAGGTCAACCTCTCACACCATTGGTCACTCACTAGAATTTAATCCACTTTCTGGTGGTTTTTTCCTGCTCTTGTTCACCCCAAAGAGAAAGCAACTGCCCCAGCTTTACTCTGGAGTGCAAATGGATACATGGGGCATATTCCATGCTTGCCTATGGACTTGGCTTCCCAAAACTGTGTCCCTGCTAAAAGTCACAACGAGGTCCAAGGTGCTGTTGCTCCCTGTTGCTTTCTGTTGAAAGGGATGATTAAGTAACCACTAAAAGATGCCAAATATTCACTTCCAAGGGAAAGTGCTCCTCCTACACTTGTGGCCACATTTTAAGCAGAAGTCCATCTTTCCTCCACATGTCCCCAGGAGCAGTCTGGGAGCAGGGTGTGCTGCCCTGAACGTGCTTTGCACCAAGCACAGTGCACCTGCTGCACATCTCTGTGCCTGCCTGCCTGCCTGGGGCAATGCAAACCAGGAACTGAGCAGGGATTCCCTACAGGAAAAACACAAAAATGGTTTTTCTCTGCAAGGCTGGTTCTGTAGCTCAACAGGTTCCTTGCAGCTGCTCTGGGCAACATTCACTGCCAAAAGCAGTGCTGGGATTCCCAATGGAGCTGGATCAACCCAGTCCTGAGGCTGCCTGCAACTGTTTTTCCTTTAAATGTGAGTGTAGCCCATCACGGAGCCTTATTGCAATAACATCACTCTGCTTGATTTTTCTTACACACCAGTGTTTGCAATTGTGCAAGTTTCACACTTTACAGTTTACAGATTGTAAAAAATCAAATTACCCCCTTGAAGCAAAGAATCTTTAACAGGACTAGAATTCACACATTCAATAGACAAAATGTAGAGATGCAAACAATGTACTGTACTTTACCAAGCTGCCATTTTTTTGAGCACATGGTCTCCATCATCCAGATGGGTAAAGCTGGTTCAAGCATAGCAATAGCCATGTTTGCAAAACAGATTGATCCTTAAAGAAAGAAGAGGAGGGGAAAAATAGTAGTCATTATTTCTTTTGACTATAAACAAAACCCCATGCAAAGCATGGATGCTTTTACATAAAATATTGCACTTTTTACAGCCCTATTTGTCATGTGCAAGGTGGTGATTAACATTAAATAGAACACAGTGTAAAAAAAATCACTGAACGCTAACTTTTTATATGTTTCTATTCTCCTAGAAATTCCACAATAAAGGTTAAGCTACTTCATAATGTGAAAGTTTGCAGTGAGCTTGATGACATTTGGAAAGTTCATGAGGTCTGTTGTACAAATGATTAGCTAAACCTACAATCACTTGGTCTTTACCTGGTCTCCTGGGGCAATACCAGAGCCCTGTTGTGTAAGAGGCTCAGGCTCTGACCCTCTGCCTCTGTCATCTGAGAGATCATGCCTGCATCACATGACAGGATGTGGAGGTCTTGATCCTAAAAATACCAAATACAACCACAGGGATGTCTGTTCCCCACAAATGGGAATTTCTCTCGAGATCCTACAGCCAGCCAGGCTGTGCAGCAAACGTGGGTTTGGCTTTGAGCTTGCACAGCCCTATGAATTTCAAATGCTTTCGAATCTCTTTAGAATCCCTGGAGCTTTAATAACCCAGACACAAAGGATAACAAGTGGTGGAAGTGCTGATTCAGCCTTGCCTGCCAGCTCAGCTCTGCCCCACACCACTGCTCCAGTGGGTTTGTGTGGTGTTCATCTCTCCTCAGTGGTGCACTTCAGCTCTAGTGGAGGGATTAGAAACCCCATGGCATTTCCTTGGATTCAAGATGCTTTTCGTGCTTACTCAAAAGACCCTCAGGCACTCAAAGCTTAATGCAAGGCAACAGGACATGTCCCCTCTGCTAATCCCTTACAAAATGGCTTTTGGAAGTCACTGCTGGAAGTGACAACCTCAAACTTCTGTTCTCATCTTTCTTCCTAATATTTACAATCTCTGAATTTCAGGAAAATATTCTAGATTTTTCCAGTCATTTACTATAAAATTTTACTATTTTTTTTAAGGTAAATTTTTCAGAGGTCAGAGAAATATTATTTCTCTTGGAAGGAGTTCCTCATCATAAGGTTCAAAACCAAATAAGCACTGATGTCATTCTTTGCTCAAACCCGTCAGAATACATTAGACTGTGTATCCACAGTTCCTAAAATGAACTTGCTGGCTCTCTCCCTTCCCCAGGCAAGGAGCAACAGCTCAGCACTGCTTTGCCCTAAAGACAAAAGCCAACCTTTCCACTCGAGTGCAAGCTCCCAGAGTGTGTCTGTGAGGAGCCCCAGCGAAACACCTTGGGGCTCCTCCAAAAATCAGCCGTGCTCAAGCAGCTTCCTTGATGCTGGAAAAAAACATTTCAGGACCATTCTAACTGAGACGGCTTAAATGGCAAAGGATTTATTCTATTGTGAACAAACCTCTCAAAGGAAGGAGAAACAGGTGTGCTTGCACATGGTTGTGGCACCTACTTCTCCTTAGGCCAGGAAGCATCACCAGAGCTTACCAAAGTACTCAGGGATATGGGGATAAAGGTACTTCAGGTCTGTGGAATGTGCCCCAAGAGAAAAGTGAGAGCCTGAGCTGGTACTCTGCAATCTCGAGTTCTCTGCTACCTCAGCAAACCTTCCCCAAAAGAAAGTAAATTATTTTTTTCCTCGGTCTTGCATGAAGCTGACCTTTCTTTAAAGTTCCATGTGTCAAGAGCATGAATCCTACATCTTTTCTCCCTTGAATTAGTTAAATGTCCTGTGTTGGCCAGGTGTGAAAATGCAGCCATCCAGCTGAATGCCATCTCCACAGCCAAGAACCCCCTCAGCCCTTGGCAGAGTGCCACAGACATCACTGGCATTTTCCTGTGGAAGAGCAGGCACACAGAGAAAAGCTGTCCCACACCTTCTCGAGGACCTGTGTGCTCATGATGATATCTGTCTCAGCTCTGGTTTTTGAATATGATCATTTAAATTAACTTGTCTATCCATGCTGCTTTGTTGGGCAGCAGCACTGATTTTCCTGTAATCCCTGTCAGTGAGGTTTGGCTTCAAGAATGACACTGATTTCACCCCCCTGAACTCCCACCAGCAGTGACAAAACATGTCAGTGACATTTCTTCTGCTTAGTCTGTGGGTACTGATGGCACAGATGTGAAGCATCACCTCTGACACAAACCAGGGCATTTGGCATTCAGCTCTGACAAAACCAAATTTGGTCTTCAAGGGAAATAAAGCAAGGAGAGGCTGAGGTTAGAAAACATCAGCATCATCTGTACTGTCAAAGCACTGGGCAGCCTCTGTCCTGGGAGCAGAGACCCAGGTGCTCCCCTTAATCTCATTGATAATTAATGAGAGGGACTTTCTCATGCTTTATATGCTTTAACTGCTGTAAGAGAAGTTACTGAATCAGCTGAATGACAAATCTGATCTCTTATGACAAGTATTGTCTTTGCTATACTTTTCCCTCAAATGCTTTTATTCAGTGGTTTTTCATGCTCCAAGAATTTCTCAAGAAAAAGGGTTTGCATAACTTAAGTCACAGCTCAACCAAGTCTCAGAATTAAGGTTATGATAATTCCCTAAGATAGCAAGAAACAGAAAACTTAGAGAAATGCCTGGAAGAATTGCTCTGTTGGATGAGCAAGTTAGGATGAAAAAACAGAACTGTGAAAATAATTATCTGTTTCCAGGTATTTTATCAACATTAGAAAGGGCCAGGCTTCCTTACAGACTTCAGAATAAACATACAACAATGTTCAGTGCAAAAAGGCAAACTTCTCTTGAGACAGAAAGGCTGATTAGACAAATGATACATGTAATACCAAACAGCATTCACCACTCCACTCAGACCTTTTCTGAAATACAATTCACACTCAAGAGACCAAACTCACTCCTTCTTCAAACAGAAAAAAGTTCACTGTTATTCCCTGTGCCTGCCTGTGATGTGCTGGCAATCCCTCATTCTGAAAGTCCTGGCGCAAGTCACTTGCCTCACAGGAAGTTTCCTGGCCACATCTCATTGCCTCAGCAGGCTCCTGCAAGTCATTAGTGGCCTCCGTTGGAAAGATGCATTTATTTCAATTTTTCTGTCTATTGTGCTTCTACTGGTACATTCATCCTGTATTGCCAACACATTCTTTGATCTTTATGTAAAGTAAATCAGCAAAGACAATGCTGTTAAAGCAGCTCAGCTTATGGCATACCAAGACGCCAGGAATGCCATCAATGGCTCATTTATAGAAGGAAAAAAAAAGGAAAAAAGGTCTGGTACCTGCTGCAATAATGATGTACGGGTCCTTCAAAAGTGTCAGTAAAGGTGTCCCCTTCTGACTCTGCAAAACAAAAGTTTGGGATTAGGAAAGGCAAAGTGACACCCATTCCTGCAGTGTTTTACCTCAATACTCACTTCTGCCTGTGTTCTGGAGGGCTGCAGAACGAGTAACTGAACAGCTGTGGAAAGAAACCAACGCTGTGACACTCCTGCAGGGAGGGGATGGATGGCAGGAGCAGGAAAGGGGCTTCAGGGTGACACCGACTGGGTATCTACTGACCTCCATCAAACAGAGCCAGCGCTGCCAGCACCAGGAAAGGAGAGCTCTTCCCCACAAACTCGTACATGACACTCCCAAAAGGGGGGCCCACTGCCAAGGGAAGGAAAGGACACACTTGTGAAGACTCTGAACAAACCTCCTGCGAGCATCCGGGCATTGCGCTACTGCCACACAGCCACCAAAAATGCAGTCTGAAAATCCCCACAAAGATCATTGATCATGGCAATAACCATAATTCTTCATTCCCCAAAACACTCAGCAATGTAAACAAAACCCAAACGTGTCAGAGATTACTGCTTGACACGTGTATCCACATAGGGAATGTCTGCTGTGGGAAAAGCTGTTCTTCACATGCACCACAAATCCAGTCTGGAGATTGCAATGCCATTACACCCAATGAGACCCCTCTGCTGCTTCCAGAGGTCCCAAGAATGTGCTTTGGGATAGCTGGGGGATGATTTCTTCTGCCAGAAGAGCCTCCAACTCACTGACCTAATACTCCCATGGCCAGGCCTCCAAGTGCAATTCCCATTGCGTTGCCTCTCTCTTCATCATCCGTATAAACAGTGGCAAGCAAACCCATCCCTACAATTCAAAAAAAAAAAAAAAAAGAAAATAAAGAAAAGAAAAAAGCACAGCACAGACCTATGCATCTGTGTGCTATACAGTTTATGGTCATCATTTGCCACACCTACTAAACATTATACAGAAATGACCAAGTAGTTTTGGGTGTGTGTATATATATTTATATAGTCCTTCCCCATAGAATTAACTTCCAAGCAAAAATGGTTTTGGCAATGTCCATGGTCTCCAAGTCCATGTTCTATTGTGCAGTATTAGTCAGGTAATTTAGTGGTGCCCTTATTTTTTAGATTTTTTTTTATTCATCTCTTTGTCACAGAGCTTTTAGATGATGCTTTCCAATGAGAAACAAAGCCTTTGATAAGTATTCACCATCATTTATTTATACTCTGAGTGCACAAAGGTCTGGTGACCACTTAGCTCCAACTGTGGACAGCGCTCTGGACACAAAGTATTATGCAGAACTGATTGCTTTGTAAATGAGTATTTCAAGTTCAGCATCAAAAAATTGAAGGATCCTTTTGACCTTTATATTCACATGCCTTATTTCTGCACTTGATTATGAACCTTCATTTCACAAAAGGAAACATGAAGCCTAATTTGCTTTTCTTTTGGTGGAACACTCAGACACTGCAGACGTAAATGCTGCAGAAGAGTCCTTATAGAAATTAATAATTCTGTTTTCAAAACAAGATTTACATAGAACTCAGTAAATAAGGTCTCCAGCTACACAGAGAAGGAAAGCAATACATTGCATGGTTGATCATTCAGTAAATACCATCCATCATGTACATCAAAAGAGCAGAGGTCCTGTGTGGATTACCATGCTTATTGAAAAGAATAGATGACATCAAATTGTTTGCATGAACAGCTGGAGAGCTATTAGAGAACTGCATTAGAATTCTCAATGAATGTGGGATTTGGGGAAATATTCTGGAAAAAAAAGGAGGGGACAATGCAAAGACAGTAACACAAAGTTATTGTACACACAGATAGGAAAGATTGCACACAGAAATGCAGGGGAGTAAATGATTGGCAGCAATGGTACACAAAACTTCCTTTGTCTGGGAGATACAGATGAGACTCCCATTGGTGGTGGCCCTGTAAGGAGCCAGAGCTTCTTCCCAGAACTGGGTCTGGTTCTGGTAGAGCACAGGGAGAAATCTGGGGGTGCCTGGAGACCTTACAGAGAATGGCATGAGGGTGAGCAAGGGCTCACAACAATATCCTTGAGGGACAGCTGTAGGGCTTCCAATTTAAAACCAGAGAGGAGAAAACTGATGTGAGACGTGATAACAGCCTTGCAATATTAAAGAGAGCCAGGAAGATAAAAAAACCTGTTCTTTGTTTTCTCTGAAGGATGGGAAGCAGAAATAAGTTCACATGGCAGTAAAGAGCCTTTAGATGAGACATCAGGAAAAAAAAAACCTTCCTGACCATAGAGGTACTTAAGCACTGAGCTGGATGCTGGGGGCAGTTCTGGAGGCTTCTGAGGTCCTGCCTGTCAAGTGTGCATGAGGAATGACAGATATTAAGTTGATCCTGCCTTCAGGAAGGGGGTGGACTAGATAGTCCCTTGGCCTTTTCTGCTCTTTTGTGTACATTGGCTGAGAAAAAATATAAAGTCTTGTGCTCACCTAAGAGCCCGCAGCTCAAGGTGCCCCCTTGCACAGGGGCTGAGTTACAGCTAAACAATAATTTTGATTCTGGCATGTTTTCCCTTGGGAAAGCTTGACTTGCAATCTTAACCGATGTCAGTTCCTGCCATTGCAGGAAATTTTTCCAAGATTGAAATATTCAGCATGAACAAAACATGTTTTCTTCAGCCTCAGCTTCAAGAATGCTGAAATAATTTGGGCTGAAAAACCGATACTCCATTTTACCTAGTCATTTAAAAATGAGACAGTTTTTTTGGAAATGTGGCACAGATATACTGAGCCCAAACTGGCAGCCAGCATGGTAAGCCCTTGAAAACAATATTTTATAACAGAAATTTCTGTAACAGAGCTGCTGTTCTAACTGTACCAACGTAAGTTCCCGGTGACCTTTAAAATGGCGAAAAATGAATTTAAAATGTTGAAGACACAGGTGCAGAAATCCCAGGGAGAGTGCAGTTCATTTAGTGCTCTACCTTATTGCAACCCAAATACCAGGGAAGTCTTAAAAGACATTTGCTTTTGAGCTACTTTATATGAAAGAGACAGAAAAAAACCCAACCAAATATGAAATTGATTCAATTGAATATTTTTGTATTAATTATTGAGCGTGCTGACAAAATTCAATTTTTAAAAAGGACTGAAAGTGATCTGTGTTTTCCTCTATCATCTCTTCTCTTACCTGCCACAGAAGAACATGAGGAACCCACTCCTTGAAGGGACCTGGCAATGAATAGTAGTGCATAACTTCCAGAGAAGGCAAACACTGCAGAGAAAAAAAGAAAAAAAACACTAAAAAAAAAAGGCGGTAATTTTTAAAATTAGGTTAACTCTAACTAGGTTAAAAAGTTAGATTTCTTGAAACTATCACAAAAACTTCCTACAATTTAGCCAAGTGTTTACAGTGACTTGTGCCACTTTCAATGCTAACTGCATTATTTTCTCTTATTGCATTTAGATGTGTCAGTGTTGAATTGCTCTCAGGTGTCTGAGCCTCCAGGTAACGCAGAATGCAAGAGCCCAAGCAGTTTTAACTAATTACTTAGGATTTGATTACACCTGCTCTGGTTCAGCTGCACTCAGGAGGAGTTATAAGACTTTTTTTTCCCAGCCTCACCTCTCCATGCTGCTTCATTTAAGGCTGCCCAGTGTGCAGCTCCAGGCACTCGGAGAAGGCAGGATGTAACACACACCCACCAATGTTTCCTCCAATAATGAGTGGGTGGGGAGAGGTTTTCCTCTGCTGCTGCCAGCCCCGTGCCAGATGTGTGGAGCACAGCTGGCTGCAGGTGCAGGGAAACCAGGTCCCCCCATTCAAAACCTTCAGCAAGATCCTTCTCCTCCCAATAGCAGAGAAACTGCAGCAGAGGATGTGCCAATCTTTCTTTTCCTGAAAGATTTAACCCCAGGCTTCACCCTCAACCATTCCCTCCTTTTGGACAGAGTCCCTGGATGCTGCCCTCAGCCTGGCTGGGTTCCCCATCCACAGCACTGGAAAATAGGAGTATACCAGAAACCCACCCACACCTCTGCTTGTAGAGCCCATGGCATTGTCAGTGTCATTAAATCTACAGAGGGTTTATAAAGCTTTTGTTCCAGCTCCCATCTGTTGGCCACCTAAGGAATTTTGCTGGGAAGGTTGTAGCTGCAGGAAGGTGCCATGCACCAACTAAACGTGGGATCCACGTGTACTCCTCCCACCTGCTCTGTGGGATTGCACATCTTGGGGCTTTTCAGCACATTTTACAAAAATCCCTACTGTGTGGACACCTAAAAATCAAGAAAAATAGAGGAAAGAAGGATTTCATCAGATCAGCAGTTCTCTCCTCTGCCATGGATTAGGCTCACTACTCTTACCTACATCCCAACCAGAATTTATCTAACATGGTCCTAAAACACAGAGTTGTTGGTGGCTCTAAGACCAGGTCGTCTCTAGTACTTCAGTCCCCCTGATGATCCAGTTTTAAGATCATAGAATCACAGAAAATTTTGGGTTAGAAGATACCTTAAAGATCATCTGGCTCAAACCCCTGCCATGGCCAGAGACATTTTCCACTATCCCAGGTTGCTCCAAGCCCTCTCCAGCGTGGTCTTGAGCATTTCCAGGGATGGGGCAGCCATATCTCCTCTGGGAAATCTCTCATTATTCTTTTTTTTATGTACAGTGGACATGGAAAACTGTTTGTCCCTTTCCTTTTTTTGTCATAGGCTCTAATACATCTTACATCTGCCTTCTGAGGCAAAAACAGTTCTTTCATCAATCGTCACAGGCTTCTAATGAACCTTGATGTTCTCTGTACTCTTTCTGTCTGGGCCACAGCTTTAAATGTCAGACCAAAACCAAACATAAAACAGCAGCTGAAGCCTTATCAATGCTATTAGAGCAGGCAAATTATCTCAGCTGACTTGCAGGCTGTGCTCCTGTTTGCACATCCCACAGTGATGTTTAGCAACGCTGTGATCCTGTTGACTCATACTCTACTCATGAGCCACTGCAGCCTCACAATCTTTCTGATAAAGCCCCATGATATCTGCTTGTTCAGGGCCTTGCAAGACAGCTCTCCCATGGCTGCCTACTTAAAACTGTCTGAGCACTGCTCCAGATCAGAAAAACCCGAAAGATTCAGCTAAGGCACCTGCTGAGGTGGGATGAAGAGTTGTGATTCCTTAGAGCACATTCCCCAGAGAGCAATCATCATCATTCAGTCTCATCAGTACCACCATCAACATGGAGCTGACTCCCTTAAATTTTCCTTAGAAATTAGTCCCCATACATCATGGAAATACATCAAGAAGAATTTCTAGGGATAATCATTATGAACCATTTATTTAAGAGTTGTGCCTGGGCCAGACCAAATAAGATGTGGACACTTACTGATTGTTGAAACAAACATGATGCAGAAGCCAGCAAACAGTGGAATCTGGTAGCCTATTCTGGAAAACACAAGGAATATTCACATTGCTGAGGTCGTCCCACTGAGGTTTTGAGTTAGTCTTACATGAGTTCACACACCACAAAAACCCAACATGTAGTTTCTTGGTAAGCTTGGAACTATTTATTGTGGGCCACATGGCCATATTTGTCACATTATAAATTCTTTTTCATCTGACACAGCAGAATTTGTATCTGAAATCCCTGGAAGAAATCCTTTTCATGACTGCCCTGATTGCCCTGTTCTCATTCTGCCTCAATTGTTCCCAATAAAACCCCTCTGGGCCTCCAGAGGTTGCCAAAGATTTGCCAAGGGAAGATTTCCCTGAGTGTACTGAACTTTTAAATACCCCAGTCACGTTTCAATGCTCATCTGTTCCCATCCTCAGGAGACAATGATTATAATGAGACATAGTCAAGCCAATGGTTTTTTTACTGGAAAAATTTGTCATCAGCTTTTCTGGGAGTTTTGCCTCAGGAGCACTGGAAGAGTCCCAAAGAGCCTGAGAATAATGCTTTTGCTTTCCATGGGTTTAGGAGTAGAAATGGAGCTGATCAAAGCTTTCTTCATCAGCCCATTTCCTCATTAGGACTCCAAACAGCCTGTAGAAATGCCTGGTTGCTCCAAGTATTTTCTAGTTTCCAGGAAATAAAGAACTTCCTGTCTGGGAAGCAAATACATTTTTTTGAGCAGATAAAACTGAAAATTCAACAACAACAACAAAAAAATCACACCATTTTTTTTTCACACCATTAAAAATCTACCCTAGAGTCAAAACCAAGGTAGCTCTGAAGACAGTGTGCATATTCTATCCAGCACACTTTGTTCACAGCTTCATTTTTTTGCAGCATTGTGCATCTCAATTGTATTTGCCAGGACATTATTTAATGGCCAAATTCTTCAACAATGGATCATGCTTTTCAGGGGAGTACTTTCAAAATATTTCAATTTCCATTTATTTGACAGTGCTGTGCATTTAAATGGGTAATATTGGCTAAAGCAGGTCCATCAAATAGTGGAAGGGTCAATAATGGCCCTTTCAATAACAGTAGTCATGGCATAGGCAAACCAAAATAATTATTCTGAGCTTTGTTTTTGTATTAATATTTTTATACAATCAGAGACCTTCAATAATGGAAAATTCCCTAAAGTGCAGAACTCAATGTTCATTGTTTGCCCCATTCTTGTCAATGAAATGAATTAAGCTTTCAGGTGGTATTTTGCCTCAAATCATCACTGCATTAAAATATGATAAAAACAGTGCACAGATTCTCCTAGTTGAAATCAGTAAGTGGGTGTTGTAAATATCCAGAAGAGCTTGGTTATTCATGTGCCACTTACCTGAATTGGTGTCTCTAAAGCAAATAAAATCCCTGTCACAAACTTCCCCTGTGGCCTTAGGATAATAACTTTAATCTCCCAGCACCTTCATACATTATATATGAAAGAGCAATACTTTTTTGTCTGCTTTATTTAAAGTGAATGATTTTTTCCAAGCCAGCCCTTCCCTTGCTGTGTCTGTAATAGGTATTACACAATGGGATGCTGGTCTCCACTGGTGTTTCCATGTACATGAGGAAATAAAAAAATTAACTCTTGCCAACTTCTTTCCTGCCTCAAAGTTGAAGTGTGCACTTCCCAGAGGGCTCAGGTAGAACAGGTCACAGAGAGTTTGATCATAATTGCTTTGATTTTGAGTTTTTCAATTAAAGAAAGTAGTAATAGGAGTACAGACAAAAAAAAAAAAAAGAAAATAAACCCCGCAGGTATAGATACTGCTGATGGTGGGCATCATCAGCTTTTTCAGGGGTATGAAAGCAGAAGGTGAATGTCCTTATGCCTTTTCCCATTGTAAAGTAAAGCACGGTTGGGTCTGTCAAATCCATCCCAGACGTGCCAGGGATGGGCACTGTGGGGGAGAATTCTGCTTTCAGTACAGAAATCAAGCAATTCATAGACTTGACACAGGGCCTATGAGATAGCAATTTGCTTCTGGTACAAGTACATTGAAATATTCAGTTATTTACATGAAGAGAAACGCCATCCAAATTGGCTCCCACATTCACATTTCCATCATTACATGAGGGACATGAGCTGTGAGATCTTCCATAAACATTCAAGAGTTAAACACAGAGCAGTGCTATCATACTGAATATAGAGATTTCAACTCTTCCAATAGGCTTCCTACACCTGGGAACTTCCTAGGTGGGTGAAGGCAGAAAGAAAACAAGCATTTTGGAAGTCACTTCTAATGCTCAGTGTAATGCTGTTCAAGCATTGTTCATAAATTTTGCAGTTGTAGATATTATTCTTCCTTTTCCTTGGACAAACAGGGCCACAGCAAGGTGGACAGTGACACATAGCAGAGAGTGGGAGTTAAACAAGTCTTTATAATACTCTGGAATGATAATACTGCCCAGAGCATCCTCCACAGCTCTGGAGTGCTGCCCCTGCATGGGATTGCTGAACCTCTGGAAGCCGTGGTTGGGCTTTCTCAGGGGACAGTCTTACCCACATCCAGCTGACATTTACTTCGAAATGCAGATTGTTCTTTCCTGGGCAATCTCAACAAACTCTGCCTCTTAGCAAACCCTGCTCCTTCTGAAATAGCAGCACTAATTAGTTGGCAGTTGTGCTACCACAAATGTCTGATCTGCAGCTGCATTGCCTGGTCTGTTCTACAGATGTTAGAGAGCCCAGACTGGGAGGTTTTGCTGAACAAGTGCACTATACAACATAAATAATCATGAAAAGTAGAGACACCTCCTGTGACAGCCAATTCGGGGATTCTGTCCCTTGGTCCTGGGCCATTCATGTTCTTGCCATGTGAAAACAGTGAATATGCAATTTTTCCTCAGCCATGACATAGCACCCTCCATCACAATTAGCTCTGCATTTTGCTCCTCTGCATTAATGCAACACTAAAGAATATTACAGCCTGTCTTCACTCTTATTTTTTCTTGTTGCTATGGCCAAGCATATAATTTTCTTGGACACTTTCAAAACCCTCCAAGCAATTCTGAAGCAGAGTCCAACATGTCTCACCAAGGCTACTTGCAGCTAAAAGTGCTTATTACAAGTATTTGTGATCTCTGGAAAAGTCTGAGTCACTACTTGAAGGAAGGAAAGGAAAGGAAAGGAAAGGCTGCCACTGATGGAGAATGCCCAAATGAACTCCACTTCAGCCACTGTGGTTCCAGATTGTAGGGCTCTCAGGAAATTATTTATACCCATTAACAAGATTACTCTAGAATAAGACAACAGATTGTTGGTTCTGTGCAACAGCACAATAAAGGTTACATTGACCAGGTGAGCAGCTGTGGATTATTAGAGCCTAATTATCAATTACAGTGCTGCAAATCCACTGATTCCAACCTTGCTGTTACTCAGCTCCATGTGAGCACCTCTCGCTGGCTCTGTCCTGGCTGGCACTCTGGCTCTCTTCTTCCCTGGCAGTGAAGACTGAGGAGGATTTATGGCACAAAAATGCTCCTTGAGGTTCTGAGCCAGTGAACCATTGAATATGTGTGGAGTTACAAAAGAACCTGTAGGGTCAGCAGGGACAGGGAGTGTGGTCAGAGGGACAGGGTGACCTGCAGAACTGCTCACTTCAATCTCCTGCCAAAACCTGAAAGAAAAGCTCAAACAGGAACTGGACTGTAAATATGTAGTTACAAATGTTATTTATTCCTCTGCTTGCTTCTTTCTGTGTGTCTTGGGCATGAACACATTGTGCTCCCGTGCAAAGGAGTTCAAAGCTGCAGCCAGGATGGTGTCAAAATTATGGTGATGATGAAAATAGCTAAATGTTTTTTAATGGGTTTTGAGGCTGATATGAATAAGGACAAGGCAAAAACTACAATTTTTTTCAGACTGATGGAAAAAAGAAAGGGACACAGAGGGCAGAGGCATTGATTGGCTCTGGTGGGCTCACAGCCTGGTGCCCAGAGCTTGGTGAGAGTTTGAAAAAAGCAGTGGAGTCAATCAGAGAATCACAGAATGGTTTGGGTGAGAATGGAACTTAGACCCCCATCTCCTTCCAACCCCCTGCTATGGACAGGGACACTTTCCACTGTCCCAGGTTGCTCAGAGCCCCATCCAACCTGGCCTTGAGCACTTCTAGGGATGGGGCAGCCACAGCTGCTCCAGTCACCCATCCCAGTGGGCTTGGATAAATCAGTTAGTTATAAAGGACAGCCTTTTGCCCACTTGGATAAATCAGTTAGTTATAAAGGACATCCTCCTGCCCACTCCCTTCACTGGACAGCTTTAGGCAGAGCCCTCACTCTCCCCCTGCCAGAGCATCCTCCTCACAAAGAGCCCCGTGTCAAATGCTGTGCTTTGTGTATAGTTTCTCACAAATTTCACTACCAGGAAAAACATAATGTGCTTCTGACCCACGAAATCTTATCAGCTCTGCCCTGAAGCTGTGCCACGGGGGGGAAGTGTGTTGTTGACTTCCTATGGCAAAGCCATCCCCCGTGTTTGCTCTGCTAGGACTTTGATAGGGCAGAGGGAACTTGCATTGTTTCAGGAATTGCAAACCTGTTCTCTGAGCCAGGTGTGCCTGGTGTTCCATGAAAAGAGCTGGGCTTTAAATAAGAAATGTTTTTTTGCAGAACATGCTCCTTGAATGAAACCAATTCTGAAATTTGTTTTGGAAAATCTACACCTTCAGTAATTGCAAAAGAAGGGAAAACAAGCTTCCAAAACTTTCAGAAAACTTAAAAATAATGATTATTTGTACAGACTGGTATGAGTAGAACATCCTGTTACTGGCTGTACAAACCCAAGCACTCAAAGCCAGTGCCTGGTGAAAACCAGCACTTGACTAAAATTCTAAACCACTCTTGAACAGCTGTATGTGATTGAAAAAAAAAAAAATCACTGTCCACAGTGTGCTACTCATTTGAAAAGGAAACTTACTGGACATCTTAACAAACTGTGCACACTGATCTTGAAACAAGCAACCATTTCTCCTTAAGTTTTGATATTTTGCTGGAAATTTGTAGAAAAAATTAAGGCGAAAAGCTTAACAGTAAACAAACAGCTTATCAAACAGCTTGCTATTGATAACCCAGAAATTTTCTGTTCAATTTATACAATCATAAATTTTGGCTGATCATATACATTGTTATTAGAAATTGTCAGCTTAAGAGAGAGAGGGTATCCAATAACTTCTACAGTTAATTGATACATGTGTTAATTCATATTTCCTACTAAACATTTCTCAGGAGAAAGGCAGATACCAGTACCAAGATACAAATAATGCATGAAAGAAAACCAGCGAACACTAAATGTAATTTAGGGCCATTTTGCCATTAAGGCAGTGACTTCAGCTGTATGAGGGAAGTTATCATGTGGGATGATGGGATGATGAGCTCCTTGTTTTTCCTTCTCACACTCATTGGGCATGTGAGCAAACCTGCCCCTGTGCCTGCAGTCACACACCCTGCCCCAACAAAAACCTGTAGGATGTTTCCAGGAGGAAACCTCAGCTCCCAGCACTAAAGTTCACACTGGTGCCCCTAACAGGAAAGGGAGATGCTGCAAGAACATCTCCTGCCTCCTTGCCAGCCCAGGGATGCACCATGCACGTCCCAGGAGCTGGCTCCAGGGCAGAGGTGTGACCTTCCTCCTGTTTTGGCAGGCTCTGAAAATGGTGGTGCTAACAGCAAAAAAGCAAATATCAATAGGGCAACAGTTTAGGCAGTTAGGAAAATCTAGAAGCACATCCAAAGAACTATTATAAAAACATTATTTGATGTTATGTTACTTTACTTGCAGAGGAGATATGACATCCTCATTAAACAATACAGGTAAGAAAAATCCTTCTCAACTTGCAGCAATATTTGTGCAAAAGTAATTTTGTGGTGGTGTACTTGTATCTGTGTAGGTGATATGTACTGGTGATAAGGGGAAATGAGAGAGAAATGAAACTGTTTCTCTCATTTAAAGCTTTTGTGGTTAGATCAGTTCCACAGATCAAACACAGGTTTTGAATACATAACACTGTGAGTCCAAATGCTGCTTAGCCCTCAGCTGGATACTGGATACATTTTATTAGATTGAAAGGAAACACTCAGACTCTCTCTCTCTCCCCCTATATATATATATATATGTAGTTTTGGCTTCAAAATCTGAAGTATCTGGCATGGGAGTGTGTTGGTTGCCTTAAATATTGTCACCTATGATGGACATTGCTTAAACAAAAGTGTTCTACAAGTACAAATTTCTGCTGCAAGTTATTTTCTACAAGGAATAATTCTCTATGAAAACAGCTTACATAAGGAATATGCAGATCAGTGACCTGGCTAAATGCAGTTTGGAGTTCATTTCCTGCAGAGATTGATCTCATAGTCTGTTTGGAAGGACTGAAGCTGTTTTTGTGGGGGGCAGTTACACAAAATGCTAACAACAAAATGAAATTAATTATTAACATCAAAAATTTAAATTATATTATATATACGTTTTAATCTTCATGTAAACATCATCAGTACCTGGATTTCGAGAGGAGATTTAAGTCATTGATATCAGTGTTTATAAGCTTGATCCTGGCTCAAATAAATTTTCTGTGAAGTCCCATTTAAACATATTTGGTTCAAGACATCACATATTTGCAAGAATTTAGAAGGAGCAATTAGAAGGCTGGGCAGAGTCATGTACTGATGGGAATGTGGGACCCACTGAACCTGGTGATGGCACCAGCAAAGTTGGACATTTGTTCACTTTTCACAGAAGTCCACACAAATTTCCCACTGATTCTCACCTCAGACAACTCCAAACCATCACACACCAAACCTCACCAAGAGCTGCTCATCTCAGTGAGAGCAGGGAAGGGATCTGAGCTCTGCCTACAGCTCCAATACCATCTTCACCTAACGTGGGTGTCACAGGAATATTGACAATTCACAGTCTTTGTGAATACGACATTGCAGTGTCCTTTGGCCTCCTGTGACTATATGGGAGATATTTCAACATCATCTCAGCAAAGGTTTCTATAAAAACCCAAGGTCTCAGGAGCTGGGGGAAAAGTGTTTGATACTGATGGCTGATCATCACTGGAAAGGGTGTAAGTGTTTAGAAGTGTTCACCAAATGTATTTCACTAAAACATTCCTCCAGAAAAAGCAAGAAGGGAGTAAGCCAGGACCAAGAGAGAACTAACAATAATCTGTTTGAAATACTAATCAGGGCTAAGCCATCAGTGGGAAAGGGGCAGCAGCAATAACATACCTGTTGGTCAGGGGCCCTATGAAGGGGTTGGTCATCAGCTGCACTGTTGCCTTTGAAGCAAACAAGAGACCAACACGGACGTTTTCATTCAGCAGCTCCTTGTCATCCTTGGGGCAGTCAGAGGGGGAAGGAGTCACAGTGACAACCATTTGTTCAGTCTGGGTCTGGTGCAGCTCTCCAGGCTGTGTCTGGTCAGATTCATTCCCAGTGACCATGGTGGAATTGTCATAGTAGGAGAAGATGCTCTGAAAATTGTCCATCGTTGCTGAGGGTAGGTTAGGCTTAGTAGTCTGGATTTCTGTGGCATTTTTCTCGTGTTCGATGCTGTAAAGGTAACTGGGAATTATTGGCACTGGAAAAACAAATAGAATACATTGGCATCTTACTATCAGGCTATTTGTAAATGGAATCACCAAGTTGTCTTGCTTGCTTTGCCATTGATCAGGAAATACAAGGCTTTCCTACAGGGGACATGCAGAAACACAGAACTGAAAGAGGAAATTGTTCATGGGAAAAAACACACCCATAACTCAGGAGTGCACCTTAAAACAAAAAGTTCCATTTACATTATTCTTTATTTTATGCCAATTTTCATAAGATTTCCAAAAGGTTTTCTATACATACATCATTAAGCAAAATATTCGAAGTATCAAAACCCATGTCTGAAGCCTCTTTGTTGCACATGGCTGCACAAGTATTTTTATTAGGCTGCAAAAGCATGAATGAGAAGTGCATTGGAATGATTATTAAACCAAATTTTAAAAATAGAATAAAAAACATTCCTAAAATAAAGCACAAAAATATTGATAGGTGCCAGCCATAAGAAAGAAAAAAGGTAACACACCATATCAAGAAATCAAAACTAATATGTTGATATTTGCATGTCTCATTACTTTAAAATTTACATTGAAAAGATCATCCAAAAGGAACCATGTTTACATGTTTTAGTATCTTAGTTGCAATTTAATTGCATTGATATGTATCTCAGACATTAGAATTTCAGAGTTTGTAAAAACAGATGTCAGGTTCATGCATTTTAATACAAGTGACAGAATAACCCCTTCCCAACTTGCATTTAGTCCTAAAAACGCCCAGCCTTTCAAGTCTGTAAACTATAATAATTTCTAGGGCTTCTAAGATACATATTAATAAACTAGTTATTAAATATTAATATTTTTATAAGGAAGTATATTAATATAAAGAAAAAAGTCCGAAATCAAATTCCAAAAATATATTTTTTAAATCAAGGTCTACCTTGTGGCATCAATTTTAAGCTGAAAGCACAAGAAATTCAGGAGTCTGAGTCTGCAGCATCACCTGAGAGCTGGCTCTGCACAGATTGAGTGACTTCCAGGAGAACCATGGGCATTCATGTGTGTTCGTGTGCACATTCCTGAGCCACTGGTTTCTCCTCACCATTTTCTTTCAATTCATATAAACATTTGATTATGAGGAGTTCTAAGTCTACCAGTCAAAAATATTCAATTGTTTCATTTGAGTGGATTTCTGAATCTTGACACTGTGCCACTGAAGCCATTAAAAGTTGGATCTTAGACTTTGATCAAAACTTGTATTATTTTATTAAGCTAACTGATGGAAGTGCTTTTCTTAAAAGTCACTTTAGATAGTTTTCTTATTAACCTATCATTTTAAGACCAATGTGGGGGGAAACAGGACCTATCACAAGGAAACAGGCATCTCCATTGTTATCTAGCCTGTTGTTTCAGTTGCATGACCACAGGAGAAAAAACGATGATGAGCTAAAAATACTGTTATCTGTCGCTCTATGAAGTATTAATGGTGTTTAGCAGGAAAAAGAGGGAAAAAAGGAGTTATTAAGACCTTTTTATACTATTCCTTACTTATCTTGCAATTAACATGGAAATAAAGCAAGACTTTGATGTCCGCGGTCGCGCGTTCGCAATGCCTGGAATATAATTAATGGTTACAAACAAAAATAAATTAATCAGTATTTGAAAACGTTGAGTTTGAGAGCATCAATCAGGCATTCAGGGAGCACATCTGCCGCCGGAGATCATTCCCGGCAGGAACGGGGAGAGGGAAAGAAGCCCAAGCCCATTTTAACCTACCGACCACGGTGAGCAGCATGTTGTCCAGCAGCAGGGCGATGAAGACGATGAGCAGGATGAGTTTGCGGGACTGGCGGCTCTCCCGCAGCCAGCGGAGCAGCCCCAGCTCGCCCCAAGCCATGCTCCGGCCCGGCTGCGCTCACACGGGCAGGGACCGGCGGGGACACGGGAGGGACACAAGGGGACACAGGCAGGGACACGGGAGAGACACGGGAGGGACCGGCGGGGACCGGCGGGGACACGGGCAGGGACACGGGAGAGACACGGGAGAGACACGGGAGGGACCGGCGGGGACCGGCGGGGACACGGGAGGGACACGGGAGGGACACGGGCAGGGACACAAACGGGCAGGGACACACACGGGGACCGCGGGGACACACACGGGGACACGCACGGGGACCGCGCTCCTGCAGCCCCGCTCGGCGCTGCGCTCCCGGCCAGCGCTCGCTGCCAGGCTCGGCAGGAGCGGGGAGAGGAGGAGCGGCAGGAGGAGGAGAGGAAAGGAAAGGAGAGGAAAGGAGAGGGGGCGGCACCTCTGTCCCCGTGTGAGCCTGGGGAGCGCTGAGGGGACTCCCCTCCTCTGCCCTCTCTGCCCTCCTCTCTCTCTGTCCCCCCACCCCAGGCAGGGAGGCTCCGGGACAGCCGGGGCGGGTCGGGCTGTGGGATGTGCCTGAACCTCTGTGAGCCCAGCGAATCTCTGTGTGCCCGGGGGGAAGTGCCAGAACCTCTGTGTGCCCAGGGGGATGTGCCAGAATCTCTGCGTGCCCAGACAACCTCTGTGTGCCCACCGAGATGTGCCAAAACAGGGGCAGGGCGGGGAAAAGTCGCTGCTCAGACATCAGAACACATCACTGCAGTCTTTGGCGAGCCACGAGGAACAACTGCCTAAAATGAGGAATCTCATAGGATCATAGAATATCGGAAGGGACCCACCAGGATCATCGAGTCCAGCTCCCAGCCCAGTGCAGGACACCCCAAGAATCGCACCATGTGCCCGAGAGCATTGTCCAAGCATTTCTTGAGCTCAGGCAGTCTTGGTGCTGTGCCCACTGTCCTGGGGACCCTGAGTGTCCAACCACTGGAGAAAACCTTCCTCCAGATATCCAACCTAAACCTCCCTTAACTCAGCTTCATGCCTTTCCTTGAGTCCTGTGACTGATGATGAGAGGGAAGAGATCAGTATTTGCCCCTCAGCTTCCCCTCATGAGGTTGTTAAAGACCACAATGAGGTCTCTCAATTTTTCTCTTCTCTTCTCTTCTCTTCTCTTCTCTTCTCTTCTCTTCTCTTCTCTTCTCTTCTCTTCTCTTCTCTTCTCTTCTCTTCTCTTCATGGCATTCCAAGTGTTTGACTCAGTCTTATCAATTTCTTCTCAATTTATATTTAAAAAGAGATTAACCACATTGAACTGGCCAAGAAACACATTCTAACAAAAAGGTTTCACTTTTGTAAAACTTGTCTTTCATATCTGTAAGAGACAGTCCGAAATTTCATTCATTTTTGCCTCACAACAAGAAGACCCCGAGGACCCCCACCCTGGTTGGCTTTGGACAGGAGTTTTCTGGCCTGGCCCAGGTGGATGCTTGCCAAGGGACTGTTTGCAGGTGTGTTGTGCTCACTGGACTGTGCTGTCATGGTACCCCATTCCCCTTCTTTTACTCTCTGTACTTTGTTTCCTATATCTCTACCCTCTATCCCAGCTGAGCTGTTAGCATTCAATAAAAATGCATTGCTGTGTGTAAACTGATTTGTCCCCTGCTGTGTGTTTTGCATCCCTGACATCAAATGAACCATCACGACCCCCGCCTGCGTTGGCAGATCTTGACAATGTCACATAACGCTACTTTCTTACAAAGTCACCAAATACTGAACTTTGTGAACTGTTCTTTGCTTCACTTTTGGAAAAACCCACTGAATGGGAGGGAAGTCTCCTGAGGAGCTCAGTAGCCCCAGATCCCAGTGTCCTGCTGAACATAATGACATCATCACTACGCAGCTCATTTATTTCTGTAGCTACATTGCCTGCAGTGCATTTTAATCCGTTTAGTGGTTTCCATCTTTGGTGTGATGTGATTTCACTGCTGATGCAGGTTTCTTAGAAAAGTGCTCAAACTTCTGCTGGTGCCTCTGTGGCAGCAGCCTTTGTGCTCTAGACACGCAGATTGAGAACAAAAGACATTTACACTGGAATTTTGCCAATGTCAGTTGTGATAGGAGATAAATGTATCTGGTCTAAATTGCTCTCTTAGGTCTTAACCCATCTCTGGGTGAAGTTTAAAAGATCTTGGGAATGGGAGTAAATTTTCAGAACAGTGAGTTATTTGCTATACACAGATTTTTCTACAAAGAATGAAAAGCGGGAGAGGCTCTGCTGACAGCTCAGCTCTCTTTTGTTTCCATGCAGGTAGCTTTGATTTTATTTGCCATGTCCACCATGTATTATTCCTACACAGATCCTATTATGCCAGCATATGACAAGTATCACCCAAGTGATAAGTATTGTTCTTGAATGACAGCTTATAATTGGTTTGGGGTTTTTAAACTTTCATAACCAGCAGCTTCAGGAGTTGGACACATTCACGTTGGAAGCTGAATTTCCAAAACAGGACTTCTGTATTCAGAGGAAATAGAAAAATACAATCGACTGGACTGAACTGAGGAGAAATGTTTCATCTTTTGAGTGTCAGATACTGAAGGCACTTAGTAAAAAAATGACATTATTTAGTTGACAACTTGCATGGATTGTGGTAGGAGGAGTGGGGCACCAGCTCTGGTCAGCAGCAGAAGCAGCATTAATATGGAATGCATGTCAGTGGAATGTCAATAGCAGTATTTTACCAGGAAAATGTGGACCTGGATATATTTTATTCCCAACCCTTCACAGGAGAGTGAATCAACAGCAATTCTGTTGTTTTGTCACCTGTCAAAAAGCAGATGTGGAGAGAAATAAGATGTTTTTCTAACCATTCCTGAAGAGGGACATGACTGTAGAAGCAATTTGTTTCTGTCTCTCAGCATCAATGACATGACAGGGGGGACCTTCCCTTCCTCCTGCCTCCTCTCTCAGTCCTTTCTTCTGGCATTTTTTTCCTCCTCATCCCTCTCTTGCTGTGGTGCTACAACACACTGACGATATCTGCTCACTTTGCTGGAGTTTTACATCACTCCCCTTTCCTACTGTCCTGGCTTCTGCCTTCAGCTAATTGATTGTTTGATAAATTATGCTGGAATATAAACGCAGACTCATTCCTGTGCTATTAGCATAGACAGAAAAGCACTCAAAAACATTCATTTGCATGTCAAGATTTCTGTTGGTACATGGATACTCTTGCTTTAGCAATCTAGCTGATGGAATTGTGGTTATCCCCAGGCAGGGAGCAGGGCAGAGCCTGCCAGGTTTGCTGCTCTGCAGGTGTGGACTGTACTCAGGAAAATGATGATTCCTTCACTAATATCCATTTGTCTTTAATCAGTCATCTCTGTGCCTACTGAAGAACAAACAGAAAAGGAATAGGACCACAGCCAAATCAGCTGTTGATGATTTTGAGTTGCTACTATTTTGTAATTTTTAATTAAGATCGGTCAGAAAAGAATGTAGAAAAGCCAGGGACTTTTTTCTTCAAGTTGTTATTTTAGGTTTCACCAGAACAGTGGAGCAAAAATGCTCAATAATGCTTTCATGCTTTGAAAAATGCTGGTCAGCTCCATCTCTTTTGCTAAGTCTCCACATTTTATTTGCTTTGACTTCTTTAAATATACACATGCTTATTAGACCCAGTGATAATGTGATCATTTTATTAATTGTAATAAGAAATTAATGTAAAATAAACTTCTAATAAGAAAATTTTAAAGTAAATGAACTCTGAAATTAGTTCCAAAAGCAAATATTTATTTAGAAATAACATTTTTCAGGATTTATAAATACTTCCCATCCCTGGGAGTGTTCGAGGCTGGGTTGGATGGGGTTTGAAGCAGCCTGGTCAAGTGGAAGGTGTCCCTGCCCATGGCAGAGACTTTGGAATTAGATGTTCTTTAAGACCCTTTCCAACCAAAAGCGTTCTATGATCCCATTGCAAGCACCAGGGAGAAGTGGAATTTTGCTCATTTGCCTACAGGTTCCTTAAATGTAGAAATTTAGAAAAAAAACACTCCTGGTTCTCACAGTCCAGTCTGAGAAAAACAGTACCTTGCTGGCTTCTTTGGGAAAAGTAATCCCTTTTAAAGCTGTCTCTTTTTAAATTTGCATTTTTTTTTTTAGTGCTTGGAGTTTTAATTTGCAATACTTCATAATTAACTTAGCTTTCTGTATGAATTAATCATTTGCAGTTATTGCTGCTGGGGAAAATTCCTGCTATAAATAATTCTTACAATTTAAGTTGGAAGGCATACCTGGAAGCTTATGTTTTACTAATAGCAAGTAATACACTTAGTCAGCTTTTTTATCCTTTGTAGCACTTTCCAGACTTTTTTCCCCTTCTGTGCCCGACAGTCATGCTGCTAATTACTCTGCAGTGAGGCTGTGTGGTAGTTAGTTCCTCTGAATAATGTATCTCCTCTTCTCCAGGCACTGAGGGTGTGCATTATATTTTAATCTGCAGAATTTATAACCCACAGAAAGTGTATGTGTGAATGTGTATTTCTATATATACAACTACTCACTATGGCATGTAACGTTCAGAGGAGAGAGAAAAAAAGCAGAAAATTTGCTTTTTAGAGAATCACTGACCAATTCATCAATAATGCTAAGCATTTATTTGGCTGAACAGCTGTGTGTGTGATAACCAGGCCTGACATGCTCTGAGGGGGTAATTTTTAAAGTGGAAAGGCTCAGGGTGGAGAAAAGGGGATGTGGGACAAGAAGAGAGACTGAATAGCTCCTGTGTCTCTGCTAAAAAGGAGCAAAATATTACTTCTTCCCCTTTGAATAGAAACAACATTAATTTCAATGTCAGAATATGGGGCAGACACTTCCCTATCTGCCAAGAAACCATGCAGGAGGTTCTTAGAGATGTGGGAAAGCTGTGGTGGAAGAGTAGATGAAAATACGGATATAAATAGGTAATGCTTTGTTGTGGTGCTTTTGGAAGACCATACATGTGTATATGTGTCATGGATAAAATCCT